CCGGTGGGCCGGCTTCCCGCGGCCGCCCCTGGGGACGCAGGCGGATGTCCCTTCCCGCTCCGCACGCCGCCGTCACGTAACAGCCCCTTGCCCAAAGCACGCGGGTCCCTTCTCCCTCTCAGTCGTGCCCTGGGGACCCTGCTGCAGGTCTCCCCTCCAGAGGTGTGGGGCTGCCTGTGTCTCGTGTCCGCGCCTCGAGGCGAAGGGGCAGAGGAGGGGTGTTGAGCCCGGCTTCCTAAGGACGGGCGGTGGAGCAGGCGGAGCTGTGCCGCCACAGCATGCTCCGCTAGCGCTAAGCGTCTGCTCCGGCCTGGCCTGTCTGGCCCCTGTGTACCTGTGCGTGAAACTGTGGCTCTTGGTGGTAATTTAAAATCCTGCTTGTAACTTGTTTAAAAGAAAAGTGGGGGGGAGCCATCTGTTGAAACTGGGAAGCAATGTCTGTCCACAGTTACTATAAAAGGAAGATGGAGCAGTCTCTACTGCCCATGTTAAACTTTTATTTAGGGTATTGTTTAACTATCTCCTTGTCAGTAGTTGGATGTTAAAGGTCTTAGTTTAGACATTTTATGTTTGAATCCTTCAAAATCTGAGTTTATGATTTGGAGACCACTGTACTGAAGAACTGAACTGAAATCATCAAGTCACTTGATGTTAGCCAATGGATATTTTGTGATCTCCCCTGCAAAACCTTACTAAAAGCTCAGATTTGTTTTTTTTTAATTACACATAGAAACACAAATTTTTCTGAGAATCTATATGTCAGTTGCGAGCCATCAACTACTCACTTGGCCATGTGGTGCAACACTTGCCGGTGGAGGTCACACAATGCAGTTTGTGATAATGCGGGTCCAGAGAAGAATTTCACTCTGTGGTTTCACTAGCGATAAAAGTCATCATACTTACTGTTGAAAATAATATTTGAATGCTGTTTCTAGTCATCAGGCAGAGCATTCAACAATTTGAAGGGGTGTGTCTTGCTTTTTAGTTTCTGCTCTCCCACAACAGCTTGTGGAAGAGCAAAAAGTTTGGATTGCCACTTTAGGTTTTAGATCTATTTCTGAAAAAAGGCTATGGACTCTATAGCAGGATTTTACAAAACTCATTTGAAAACTTACAGTGGCATAAAACTGGTTAACTATAAATTATTCCTTTTTTTAAATTCTAGTACTGTAATACTGGAACTTACTCTATAGTTATGTGGACAATAAAGTAACAACATTTAAAAACCCAACCATACAAACACTGAGAAAGCGGATGCAATAGTTTTGCCAGCTCCTATTCACAGTCTCCCATTTGAGCCGTAGTTCAGAAAGTGCCTAATAATTGCTAAAGATGTATTTGTACTAACTTTCTGTACAATGTTTAAGTGGTGTTTTGGCTGGGAAGACTTTAACTTTTGTCTTTGTTGCAAAGATTTTGCCTTTTGTAGTGAAAAAATTTGTTATGCCAATGTTACATTGATTTCTTGTAAGTGAATTTCTGAAGTACGTACTTCAGATAACAGTTTTCAGAGCTACGTTCTTGGATGCAGATCTGTGATCCTAAATATATACTTCCAAAAATTCTGCTTTTATGATCAGAGCTTTTCTCAACTTTAAATTGCAAGGGAAAAATAAAGCTTGTTCAAAGCACGTCAGCTTTCTCATATGGAAACATTTTACCGATTGGATGCAACACGTTAATACTATCTGCTCACTTAGAGAGGTAGCATTTCAACCGACATTAAAGTTGGCAGCTTCCTCAGGCTAACATCTTTAGCTCATCAGCTGCACATCTTCTTTCTGCCTCAAGGAGTATTTTCAGTGGGCACATGTAGTCAGGATGCGAAATTTCTTTGAAATTAGTGAAATTGTTATGTAAATTTCGTGCCAAGGAGTTTAGTTTGTCAAATAAGGGCAAAAAAGTGTTGTAAGTGTGTGTTTTACTGGAATATGCTGCATTCTGGAGAACTTCCTGAAATAGTTTTATCCAACAACGTGGATTTGATTAAACATTTGTCCTTTACAAGACACCGTGTCTCTTTCAGTTTATCATGAGAGAGACCTTCCTTTGAGCTTTGTGGAGAAGGTGCTGTTTTCCAGTCTGTAATTTAGTGTAAGTTGGGGGTGACAAAATACTGCTTTATTGAAATGTATTTGTTCTAACAGACGAGTTACTAAAGCAGGCAGGTCTTCTGTGTTAGATTAAAATTACAGGATTGTTTTTGTATTTTCAGCAGATTTTTTTGGTTCAAGTTTTCTTTGGGGAACATTACACTTTGGTTTTATACCCTCAGTAGACTCAGAATTACCTTTGTTTATATCTTTTATCAAAATGAGTAGGGAACAGGCCTATTTACACCTTAGTTATGTGTAATTCTCACCAATGAAATATTCTTTCAATATAATAAACTACAGCAATAAATCTTTTAGTTAAAATTCAATGAACGTAAGACCCAAATGTAAGTAAAAAGCTGACTTACAACAGTGATTAAACGCTAAGAAGACAGTGATGTTTACCAATCAAATAGAATATCTATAAGACAAGGTAATAGCCAGGATTATGACACCAAGAATGTTTAATGTGAAGAAAAGGGGAAAGGATTCTCAAGCATTGTGGAAAATACAAGGGTAACCATGTTTCCTTGCTGAATAATAAAAATCAAGAAATTCTTACAGATCTGTCTCACATTTCAGTAGATAACTTCTTCAGCAAAGTAATTAGCTGGTACACAAATTTAAGCTTAATAAAGACACCATAAAATTACTGCATCTTATTTAGAAGCAAAGGCTTAAGTTTGGAATTAAAGTATTAGTATTTTGTCTTCATTGACCATTTGAAGTTTGCAAATAGAGAGTTTCCCTTACACACTGGTACATGTAGACAGAGTTACTTCGGTTCCTCTTCTGAAGTAACAGAGGCATTAATAGTAAATATATAGCCAGTCACGTGACATTTTATTCTGTGTGTTGAGAAACAACTCTCTCTCAGAGCCTTCTGTGTTCCTTTGCACAGCCAAATTGCCGTTTTTGAGAAACTGTAAAAGTATTCCTACAGTCAGGTGAAGGTAAGAGTTAGCTGCAAGGTTGCTAACTTTAATTTAAAGAGAAGGTTAATAATTAATTAGATCCTTAAAGTAACTTATTAGATAATGATTGATAGCTACTTTAAAAAGAGATTAAACCTTACGGTAACTCTCAATCTTTTGGCTTTTTCAGGCCCCAGACAAGTTTACAATTAAGTTGTTGATCCTTATATAGCAAATGAATTCTACTGACAATAGACTTCCGTATCTTGCTTACTCTTTGTGAAGCCTTTCAGAAACTCAGCAGAAAACAGGTGTTCACAAACTAGAGTGGAAAATGTTGCTTAAGTCTTTTGAAAACGCTCATCTGTAAGGAATAGCCCATGCTAACTAAAATACAGGGGTAATGTAAGAAAAGGTGCTTGATGGAGTTAACAGTATTTTTTGTTGCTTGTCTGTTTCATAAACAAAGTTGTTAGAACCTTGGATTTTTTTCAGCAGCTTGTTCCTTGCTCTTTAGTTTTGGAGCTTTTTATTCTATTTATTTTATAAGGGTGAGAAACCATAATAGAACTGGTTGAAAACAGAATAGCAGAATACCTCAAACTGAGACTTACTCTCTCAGGTTTGTTTTCCAGAAAACTGGGCCAACACTTAATTACATTTGTCTGTTTCTCCATTCTGTCCCTGAAGTGACAGTGTCTAATTACCCAGAAGAAACACTTTGTATCATATTTCAACATCAGCAAATCAAAAATCAACTTAAAAAGCAGTTTCTTGTTTTACAGGAAACTTCAGCCAGCCATTGATAAATGTCTGTGGCCACTTTCCTTTTTAATACATGAGGGGAGGAAAAGAAATTCATGGATTTGTGCAATATTAGAATTTACCTGGAGAGAAATAAGCAAATTAATAAGAAGTGGGGTAGCTGCTATTTATCTACTTCCCTAAGAAATAAAGGAACGTAATCTGCGAGTGTGACTGTCATAGGATTTGTGTGGGGAGATATTTTTTATTATTATTCTTTTACTTGCCCATCTCTTGTGAGATTGGTGCATTGTTTCACAGGGCATCAGAGCATTTGTTCCACAGAGGAGGGGTACAGACCTTTACAACTGGCAGCAATCACATACCACTCCACTTCTTTATTCTTGTGTTGTTGCTAGTAACTAGTTGTTACAGTAACGGTGAAGTTACTCTGGCATGAGATGTTGATGACCTCCAAGTGGAGAATAAAGTAAAGGAGTGTGTAATACGTAGCATACATATTCAAGATTCTAAATGGCTATATGTGAAACTCCTTCATACAGACTTTTTCCTTTACAAAGACGAAGAAGAGTTTGAGCATGAACAAAGCGGAATCAATAAAAAGGGAATGGAAGGAACAGGGACTCTCCTGATGATACCACTGCAGGACATTGTCACTTTCTGGGTATTGCAGTGATGATATTTTAAATGCTGTGACCCTGAGAGCTACCCACTGATGTGATCCATGTGGCAATGATACTGTTCCAAAAGAAAGGTGCCGTGATAGGAACCTAAGTAGTGAAAAGCTAAAGGACTCCTGAGACCCAATACTGCCCCCACCTATCAACATGTGATTGAAAGCCCTTACAGTACTAGCCACTAGAGTATTAGAATAATTTTTAGAATATTGTTAAAATTTTAAAACAAGGTGGTGCTGCCCACAGCCTTTTTGTACAGATAATCATAATATATAATAACCTAGAATGTGACTTGTAAAGCAAGTATACACAGGCCAGGAAAAACACTTTAAGTATAGTTCGTGTTGTTACAACTGAGACACTAGTAATAGGTTTTTATTCTCACTGTAAAATCATTCATCATTAAAATCAATAAAATCATAAATCATTAAAAAATTTGGATGCTATGGGAAGAAAAATTG